CCCCCCCCCCCCCGGCAATTCCCAATCGTCTAACCCCTCCCACTCCGTGTCCCCCGTGCGGCGGCAGCAATACAACACTCGCAAGCACGTTGAGACGTTCTGGAAGGGGCTGACCCACGACCGCTATGAGGTATCCTGCGTCGACCCGAAGCTCTACTACGAGCGATTCGTCGATTTCTTGGACCACCACACGGAATAGACCCATGAACACTTTTGGTTACAACACCGCGGACAATAATAACGAGTAATTCTAGGGTAAAGCATGTAGCAGCAAGCGGTTGTTGCTTGTTTGGTTCACGTATTTATTTATTTAGTTACACAGCAGTCAACCAGCCCGCTTTTGCGTGGATTTTGGTCGGTTGAGGAGCGTATCACTACTTTCTGCTGGTGTCCTGTGTGATCGATCTTCCTGTGACTGGTTTCGTCTTCGGCGTCCTCAAGTTTTTGGTACCAGTAAAAAAGTAAAGCTTCTGGTCGCCGGTTCTGGCGTCTGCTTAGGGTCCTCTTCGGCACTGGTGGCCATAATTGGCGCGTTACAACGTAGCGTAACCTTGTGCGCCACGAGTACGTGTGCACTTCAATGCAACACTGCTGTCAATAATGTTCCGTGGTGGACAGATGCATGGACCTATGATCCGCACCGTTTTACTTTTTAACTGGATATATCTGCCACACGTGCGTGCGGATGTGGCGTACTTCTGTTTTTGCGTGTACTGTTTGTCATCCCACCATGATGTGGTATCTGCTGCGTGGCTATGTGTGGTGATTGCTGTTTGACGCGTGGTTTGTGTGGCTGAGTATAAAAATGTAGTGATACCTTGATACGTACTGCTGTTACATAACAAGCAGCTGTGTTGTTGTTGCATGTGCCCGCGGGGGAGCGGCTCTCCAACATCTTGGACAACACCGCCGGGCGTAATTGAAACGATCTCTTGAAAATAGTGCGAGGCTTGACGTCTATCTACACAAACCCATTGGGGGGCTGCAATGTGAACACGGAAGGCGTCCGTCCGCGTCAGTTCGACCGGTACGAGTGTTAAACGGTCTACTTTGCACATGAGTGAGGCAGACCGGAACGATGTTTGTAGACTACACAGTGAAAAACACCACACATTTATCCACACACACGTAGGCGGGAACGATGTCTGTAGACTACACAGTGAAAAACACCACACATTTATACACACACGTAGGCGGGAACGATGTTTGTAGGCTACACAGTGAAAAACACCACACATTTATACACACACAGTAGGCGGGTTCCGCGGTAAAGCCGAATTTATTTGGGGGGGAGGGGACGGTAGTCACCATGCCCCCCCCAACCCTTGAAATTTTTATACAATGATCCAATATCATAGTTATGATGATATGCAAAATTTGAAAGGCAAACCCGGTGGTGGTGGCCGGGTTTCAATGCATTATGCTCTTTTTTCGATTGCCAATTTGCGAAACGCACAGACCGGGGATGGTGCCAAAATATCACTGGTTTTGAAAAATCGTCAGATCGATCTGAAAATTTCAGGGTATGTCAGTTTTGGGGTGGGGATCACGAATCCGTCGTTGGATTTTTGTTTTTCTCGCATTCTGAACGGTGTCGGGAGTGCTGAGGGGGGAGGGCTTGGCCCTTGTGGTTGAAGGTGGCAAGGAAGTAGGAACTGTTCGTGAGGTGGATTATGCCATCCTTACGAAGGCTACTGTGGCGATACTCATGCGTGGTTTTGAGCTACATGCAAGTGCGCAAGTAGTGGCTGTTCACCGATCTTGGATCTTCGGGGTATCTCCGATCATATCTTTGACAAGTTGTCACGTGTTCCGCTGTCGCGTGTTCCGAGTTCCGAATGCGTCTTTTCTGCGGGGAATTTCTTGCGGCTGTTGCACGAGTGCCTCGGTGTTTGTGATGCACCCTGTGCTCACTCTCTTCCGTGGGTTGTGTCTACAAGGACAACCAATAAAACGTCTTAACCATCTCTTCACGTTTGTCAACCGGGTCAGCCGTGCTCATCCAGCAGCACTAGTCTTGGGGCCAATCAACACTCTAGAGTTTTGTGGCGTTAACGCCTTAGTCTAGTGCGGGAGACACACAACATGTCTGCGAAAGACTCTGGGAAATCTGGCGGGAGCGAGGCCGGCCCGACTCATGAGGAGCTTAGGACGGCCGTCGACGACGCCGTGGGCGACGCCAGCACCAGACTGGAGAAGATGGTGACGGAGAAAATGGCAGGCATCATGGACACCTTGTCCCGGTTAGTGCCCGGGGCACCGCCCGCCGGAAGTGCGACCGCAGCGGGCGGCGGGGGGGAGTCACTGGGGAGGACGCACGCCTTCCCTGGCGCGGGTCAGCTGGACCAAGCGCCGAATACCGGAGGAGGGCTCGAGGGAGCGATAGGACTGCGAGGCCCGGAACCACGAGAGCCTACGCCACCCGAGGGGGCTATCTGGCGAGAAGGAGGCAGCAGCGAGCAGCAAGCCTCACGGTATGCTTTCAGCTCGCATGCCCGGATACCACGCCTGAAACAGTTGGACTTCGACGGAGACGAGAAAAACTGGCTGATGTTTCGAAACGATTTTATTACGCAGGTGCAGACTTGTGGAATGGGTCGAGCCTTGAATGACAGCAGAGACATTGAGGTCCTAGGCGTAGATGATTATGGCATGGTAGAGCAGGGAGTGGAGGAAGGGCAGATAGCTATGTACCGGGATCTGTGGGGGATGCTGACCGGAGCGATCTCAAACAACTCCACCAAAA